GCAGAAAAGGCCATGTGTGTCGGTAGTGGGGCTGTGAATGTTGTCCACGCAACTGCCTATGTCTCGCTCTGCGACTGACTGACTGAGTGACTGAGTGGGGGGGCGAGGCGGGCACTAGTGTAGTGCTGCTCACGCGCGAGCAAAATATGGCTAGTCAGTCGGCGGATGGATTCCTGTCGTCATCAGTGTGGATCGCACGGCTGCATTTGCGAGACGGCCATTAGTGGTGGGGTTAGTGATGGGTGTGGTCATGGGGCGGGTTTCTGCTTTCTTTTGTCCTTTCTCATCCGGGCGGGCACAATGTGTCGGTTCCTTCGGTTCCGTTTTGTTCGTTTCTCATACACAGACACACTTACACACAAACATGAACGCACCAGACATGTGCAGGCATATAATTATTTCTTACATGCATACGGCTGAGTGAGTGGGGGAGCGGTGGAGAAGAGGGGAGACCACAAAATACATGGGTGTCTTAGTCAGGAGAGGGGTCCATGTCTGTGTGATGTGGGTGTTTATGTCGGCAGTCAGCTCTGACACAGTTGTCTGTCTGCCAAGTCAGACAGTGAGCAGACCAAGGGCAAAGGGCGGCCTTTATGGCTCAGTGAGGCGACAGACAGACCGACCGTTTTATGTGTGTGCCGATCGCCTTTTGTACGTCACATCTGCATGTGTGTGTGTAGGCGGAGTGGGTATGTTGTGTGGTGTGGCCGACTGCCTGCCTGCCTGCTGGATTGTCAGAGTCTTGCCTTTCCCCGCCTTTTCACCTACTTGTCTGTCCGTCATGTGTGTGTATGCCGTGGGCGCAGAGAGAGAGCGAGAGAGAGAGACGCAGTCACCCGATTGATTGATCGATTGATAAGATGGACGCATCATGGGACAAAGGACATGCAGAAAGAGTATCCTTCAATCGTCACGCACGCGAAAGAGGATGATGCATTGACAGCGAAGCAAACACCGGCTGATGGTCAAATGCCACCATCCATGAGTACCATCCGTGTGTAGATGACATGCATTCATCGGATTGATGAGGGTCATCAGCACGAAACGAACTGAAGCGGCCGTCCACAATCAATGCTCTCGCACAGCCCTCGCCCCCTCCCCTCTCCAAGTGACACTCACGCAATGCCGCAGACTATCTGGCAGGCAAGCAATCACAGCGAGGAAAGACATAAAAGGCGGAAGTGACTATATCACTGGTTCACCGCGGCAATCTCAGCACGTGCATTCTCATCGATGCCGGCACGCTCGAGAATCTCCTGCAAGAGCACCGATTTGTCGGCCACGTACCCGGCCATGTTGTCGTAGTAGCGCAGGGCGAGGCTGAGTTTCAGTTCGCCGTACCGTCGCCGCAGCTCGGGATCGTCACGAAGGGCATCCCTCACCGCGAGATGGTTGCGCAAGGCGAGGCACCCGTCGATCACCACATAAACGTTTCGCCGCGGCTCGTTGTCGAAGCAGCGCATCGCGTGTCGGTCGGGAATGCCCAACTCTCCCTCATACAGGTAGCCGTGGGCTTCAAGCGCCGCGATGGCTGCGGCCAGCTGGCCGCGTCTGACAACCACATCGACGTCTATCACCGGTTTGGCTGGGAGGTCAACAACCGCTGTGCTGCCGACGTGCTCGATGCCCACAATGTCGACGCCAGTCAGTGCGGACTCGAGTTGAGTGCGGATGAGAGCGAACCGCTGCTGCCAAGCGGCGTTGTAAGGCTCGACTTGGACTCTCATGAACGGACAGCGCAATTGGGACAGCGGGTGACTCGGCGACCGACAATGCCGTGCGTCCAATCGGGGAGCACGAAGCTGATGACACAAACAAACAGGACACAGCAACAAATCGTTTCTTTCAGGCAGATCTGGCTTTCGTGCGTTAACGGTCTTCCGCTTTAAGCTCGCAGGTTGGGGGGTCGAACGGATATGTACAAGCAGGCAGACGCTGTTATAAGTTGGCATGCAGCGGCAAGGGGCCGTGACACATCATGATGAAGAAAGAATGTCGTTCGGTCGCAATGGATCCGAAACGATGTGTGCCTTGCCGCACAGATCTAGAACAGTTGGGTGACGACAAGGCACAGCAATACACGCATCCACACGATCGTTCACCGAGCCAGTCGGAGTCATGGTGCACTTCAACGATGCATGCATGTCCTATAGGTCTCTTTCATCGACTTTATCTAACTTCATCTCTGTCTGCATGTCTGTCATCGATGATCGGTATACTTGCCCTCTGTCGGATCCACCCATCCATCTGTCTACTTGCCCCCCGCCCTTGTCTGTGTCTGTCTGAGTGTTTTGTACCGCTTGACGGCCTGCTTGGCGGCATAGCACTCACGGGCGATGTACTTGTCGTATAGCTCACCCGGGTAGTCATTGGCCTCATTACTGATGGCACGACAGACAGACAGAGACACATGCGTGGATGGATGGATGGATGGATGGGTGCCTCTCTTTCGTCTGTGTGTGTGTGTGTGTCTTCAGTGGGTACGCGAATGGGTCAGAGAGTTCCTGCGCGAGAGTGAGTATGCCGTTGTAGAGGAAGGGGATCACAAACACCAGCACCAGCTCAAGGGCAAACAGCTCCCAGTGGCCCTGCTGTGACAGGTACCTCGTTATCCGCATCGAGACCGCCAATGCGAAGACGATGTTATTCACCTTCACCTAAATACCGACACGCACACACGCACATACCTGTGAGCATAACCGTGTCCATATGTCTCTCTCTCTCTCTCTCTCTTACTAGGAAGGCCATCATGTGGACGTATGCGAAAGGCAGAGGGGCGGCGAGCTGACGCAGAATGAACGCGGCACCGTCCCGGCCATCAGACGCCGTCTGCATGCAATACATTCATGTGCATGTGTGTCGTGTGAGTCACATGAACATTGCCTGCCTCGTAGAGGAACGTGGTGCCGCTGAGCCCGGTCAGTCGGCCCTTCTGGTCGAGCTCGCCGATGAGAGCCACCACCCACGCCCACACGCAACACGGCACGCGATAACAGACATCGTCCAGCAGAAAGCCTGACCACACACACGGACAGGAAGAAGACACACCCGCACACACAAAGAAGAAAGAGAGAGAGCCGTCTGTCTGGAAATAGGGAGGTCTTTATGCGCAGTCACGGCTGTCTGTGTGTCTGGTGTGTGTGTGTGTACGGTATTCTGCCTCGGTGAGCAGGCCTCGCTTGACAAGGTCGTGGAACTGTCGGTCGCTACGCCGCACGAAAATGGACGCGAGAGACACTCGTCCGTATCGCACTATCCTGCACACACAAACACACAGGAAGAGAGGATGAGAGACAGAGATTGTGAATGGATATGTAGAGGTGTGTGTGTACGTGTCAATGGTGCGTTCGTCTTCATAGGTGAGGTTGCCGTCGGTGTATGTGTGTATGTGCGACAGCAGCAGAAAGTTCAGCTTCGTGGTCGCATCGAAGATCTTCCCAATGCCCTCCACTCGCAACTCTTTCCTGCACCCGGACACATCGAACAATCATCTGCGTGTCTCGCTCTCCTTCCTCAAGCCTCAAGCCTCACCATTTGTCAATGACGCCTGAGGTATACAAACCAACGAGAAATCCGCTCAGTGCGCTCAGCCAAGTGGCCAAATTCTGATGATCGATGCCCACACACACACACATTGCACATGAAAGGTGAACCAATGGATGGTTGCAGCTGACCTGGACGGCGGTGGATTTCTTTTCGACGGCGACCCATTCGTCAGGTATGGCGAGGTAGATGCCCACCACTGCAGCAACCAACAGGTAGTAGAACAGGGCCTCAATCCTGCGGACACACACAGAGACGTACGGTCCGACAGACAGACAGACAGACAGACAGACAGAGCAAAAGAGGGAGAGAAATAAAAAGCAGTATCGAAGACAGACACAAAATCGACAGTGACATAGAGCGAGAGAGGCAGCACCCGCCCACGCCTCCGTACCAAATCTGTTTGTACATCAGCACGCTGCCCCTCAGCTTGAGCACTCCAGCGAGCGAGTTCAGTTCTCTCAGGTTGTAGGGGCGGTGCTCGTCCACAATGTCTATCCACTCGCGCCGGTCCTCCCTAACATCCACCTCTACCACACCCTGCACACATTTACAGACACACACGCAGTCACACACACGGACAGACAGACAGACAGACAGACAGACAGACAAATTTAAACAGACACACAGGCACACACAGACAAGCAAACAGAGCAAACAGACAGACAGACAGACAAGCAAACAGACAGACAAAGAGAGAGACGTCCTCACACGAGAGAGACCCCACACACAATCGGATTGCCACACACATGCTTGCCTTGTGTCTTTCGTCCACATATCCATCGTCGCCGCTCTGCTTTGAGCCCCAGAAGGGGAGCTGCCAGGCCGACTCCTGCTGAGCCACAAAACCCACGAGAGGTACCTGGCTCTCCTCGTCACGATCAACACCGCCAGCGGTAGCCATGATGAAAGCCGATGGACAGAACGTTGCACAGAACTCTTTTGAGACGTGGGGCGCTGTGTGGGCCTCCCCGCCATCGCATGCATGCAAAATCATCGGTGAAACGAACTCTCTCCACCCTAGCCCACTTCAAGAAACCCATCGCAGTTTTATTGTGAGAGAAAATGGATACTTCTTCTGCTGTTCCCATTCCCAAGCCCGGCTCCCCTCCCCCGGCCACTCGCGAGCCGCTCGCAGACCCGTTCGACCACCCGCAGCCACAAACACAGACAGAGCAGCGAGATGAACAGCCGCTTTCCGAGCGATTCGCCGCTGCGGCATCAGCCACGGCATCAGGTAGACCTACCCGTTCCACGCCGCGAGAAAAAACTCTCACGGATGGATGCATGGACGCATGGATGAGTGTCAACGGTGTTTGTGTGTGTTGTGTGGATTGTTGATCAGGTGGTACTGCTCCCGCTGCGCTCGTGCCTGGTGCGAACATTCCCCGGCTGACGAGCGATCTGGAGGCGGGGATGGGCACGTTTGGCGTGGCAGGCAGCAGCGCGAGCGAGAGCAGACACTGGAGCGAGGACGTCAACCTCTCGTCGTCCTCGGACGAGCTGTCGGCCAGCGGCAATGGCAGTGGGCTGCAGCAGCAGGAGCAGCCACAGGTACGTACCTGCCCTCGCAGAGGAAGGTGAATACAATGGAATGCGTGGATGCACGTGTGTGTAGGCTGAGGACACCCAGCCGCCGGCAACGCAGCAGCAACAGCAGCGTCGTGAGCAGGGAGAGGAAGGTGCTGGCGCTGCTTTGGGTGCTGGTGTTGGTGGCGCATCGCTGGGCAGTGTTAGTGTTGGTGGTGAGGGTGGGGAGGCCGGCAGCTGCACGTCGTCGCGACTAGAGGAACTTCTGAAAGATGTACGCAGCGCATTGCAGACACGGTGGATTGATGGATGTGTGTGGATGTCTGTGTGGTGCAGAGCCCGCCGACCGAGAAGTTGCCCGACCGCCCCACTCCCCCTCTCCCATCGCTGCCATACCCACGGGTCATCGACCACCGACCACCTCCCACTGCCACAGCCACTGGTAAGGGTAATGCGCTGTCCTGTGTGCTGCATGTGTGTGTGATGGGTGTGAATGTGTGTGCAGGGAAGAGCCAGCAGCCACCGAAGAAGGCGCCGGTGCCTCATCCCAGGACGGCTGCTGCTGCGGCCTCACACACGGGGGCGGGTGCTGGGGCGGGGAGAGGGGGTACGCACACATTGGCGCACGGACAGATAGGCACATGGATGTGCAGACGATTGTGATGGTGTGTGTTGTAGGTGTGCGGGGTGTAGTGAGGGGTCGGCCGCTGAGTGCGTTCCCTTCGCCGACGGGCCAGACACGCGGACATCCTAAGGGCACTGCTGGGGGCAGGTACGCATTTGACGTGCTCTTGTGCACACGCACTCTTACACACACTCAGAGAGAAAGAGAGAGAGCAGAGAGATCGTCTTTCTGTGCTCAATCCATGTGTTTGTGTCTGCAGGGATGTGGGTGGTGGTGGTGCGGGGATGGGTATGGGTATGGGGTTGCATCAGTCTGTAAGTGCCGCTAGGGAGAGGGACACAGTTAGGGATAGTGGAGATACCGGAGTTGGTGCTGGAGGTGCTGGTGGTGGTGTGAGTGGTTCGGTGGACAGCAGCATTGCCATGGGTGAGCCGCCCACCTTCAGGGCCTCCGAGGTGAGCAAAGCCGTGTGGTCTGTCGAACAAGCCAACACCACCCAGCAACAACAGCAGGTGATCCATGACACAGATATGACACACAACAACAATGGTGCATCCATCTCTCCCTCTCTCTCTCTGTGTGTGTGTCGATGTGTGCACGTAGGAGACCTCTGGTGGTGGTGCTGGTGTCGGTATGGGTGGTGGTGTTGGTGGTGCGCCGAGCCATCCGTATTTGAGTATGCGTAGTTTGATGGTTGGGGACGGCGAACACCCGCCGGATGTCGACATACAGAGATACGCACTGCAGGTAAAACACCACCACACCATAAATGCGCTTGTGTGTGCATTTATGCGTGTTTGGTGATGGTACGTTGTTGTGCAGTTGGAGGGTTTCCTGACGGAGTTCAAGCAGCAGGCCCTTGAGGGATTCATCAACGCCAAAAAGAACGCTGAGGACTCACTACGAGTATGTTGCCAAACACACACATCCATGTGTGGATCCCCCGGGTGTGTGTGTGTCTCTGTCAGTACACTCTCGACTCAGAGCGGCATCGTTTCAACTCCACCCTGCACACCAAAGAAAACGAGGTCAGTGTGTTGGCGTCGTATGTCTCCATGTGTCCGTATGTCTCTATGTGTCCGTATGTTCGCGTATGCTGTGTGCTCTGGTGATGTTGGTTGCAGATATGTGCGATGCGTCAGGTGCAGTCGACTGTGCAGCAGATGAACGACGTGCTGCACCACAGACTCAAGGTAAGTGGAGATGGCAGCCATCTCTCTCTCCATCTGTGTGTTGCTGCACTTGTGCGTGTTGACAGGGTGTGGTCAATCTGAGCCCCAAAGTGCGCGACGACGAACATATGCGGGCCCTCAGGCAAGTGCACACGGATGCACACACACGATGCACACCGGCTACCTAACGACACTCTCTCTGTGTGTGTGTGTTGGATGATACACACCACAGGAGCCGTTGCTGGGCTGCGTGGCGCGCATACGTCCAGATGAGCAAAGACACCCACCTGGTCGGTCGAGACACATACCCATCCACGTGTCTTTATACGTGTCTATGTGGTGGTTTGGGTGTGCAGAAGACCTCCCTGGCCAGTGCACTGTACCACAAGCGGCTGTGCATGTCGGTCTTCAGCAGCTGGCGGGGGCGGGCCAGCAGGTCGGCAATGGAGGTAAGCCAACCAGCCCCATTAGAACAAAATGCCTTCACTCGTGCGTCCTCATGTGTGCGATTGGGTGCAGAAAAAGCTGGCGGCGACCAAGGCGTCATCGGACATTGAGCGAAACCGCCTGTGTGCCCTTGTCAACCTGGTACACTGATACGCACACACTCAGATACAAATGAGTATGTGTCCATATGTGTCATTTGCTGTGTGTAGGAGAGGGACCGTCTCCAGGAAGAGCTGAAGCACACACAGGCCCAACTCAAGAGGGAGGTACGCAACCACATGCGGGCGCCTAGACACACACACGTGTGTCTGTGTGTCGTGTGTTTGTGTGTGTGTCAGGTGGACACTCGTGCGTTGCTCCAGGACAATCTGAAGCGCGTCTTTATGCGGGGCGTGTAAGCCACACACACGTGTGCTGTGTCCATCCATCCATCCATCCATTCATTTATTTGTGTCTGTGTGACTCTCTGTCAGGTGTGCGTTGAACTTCGAGGCGATGAACATCCTCTCCAACCCAACAGCAGCAGCACAACCATCCCAGCAGCAGCAGCAGCAGCCGACCTCACCGTTCGCAGCGTTCAACATGGTGCCTTCCGCTGCTGCTGCTGGTGGTGGGCACTTCTAAACACATACAGACAGACAGACAGACAGACACCCATCCATCCATCCGCCCGTGTGTGTGTCTGTTGTTTAGGTGTGGGTGTGAGTGGTGCGCAGAGTGCGCGCGAGTACCGCGGCTGGGGCGGCGGAGATAACCCCACCAATAGCAATGAAAGGGCGCCTTCTTTCCAGGTACATCGCATAGATCCCTAGCCTCCCCCCCTCCCCCCCACACACAGAGAGAGGGAGAGGCACCCAGGCGGCTTGTTCCTTCGACAGCACACGTGTATGTCGACAGCACACGTGTATGTGTGTGTGTGTGTGTGTGTGTGTGTGATAGGGCGATGACATGACCACATCCCACCAGACGATGAACATGCCTGCCGACGACGGCAATGTCACCGAGGGCGGCCACGAGTCCCTCGACATCCCAAACGAGCCACCACAGCCTTACAAATCTGACGAGCACGGCGCCGCTCTGGTGTAAGTTCTGCACAAACTTGATGGATTGGAGGACGGAGGGAGGGATGGATGTGTTGCACTCATTTGTGTGCAGACCCAAGAGTGCCACCACTGGTGGGTGGCGGAGTGTGGACCAGCTGCAGCACCACCAGCAGCAGCAGCCACAATACCATCACCCACACCACCAGCAGCACCACGCTGGTACTATGCACACACGCGTGTCTGTCTGAATGAGTGAGCACACAAGGCGGTGTGTGTGTGCCGACGCGTGTGTGCAGGTATGCCTCCGGTGGTCCGTGTGCAGTCGTCCCGCGTGACGAGTGCCGCTGTGGTCGGCCCGGCGGTGTCGTCGGTATGCCAATCCAACAGCTCACAGACCACCATACAACCCAACGCTGGTACGGCCGTCTACTCAGGAAAGTCATAGCCACCAACACGCGGCCGTCACCGGCTGTCTATATTTGTGTGTGCGTGTCAGATGTGGGAGGGCCGCAGCAGCGGACACAGACACAGACACAGCACGGCAGATCGATCAGGAACTGACTCAGACACGCAATGCACGCAATGTACGATGGGTAGATCAGTGCCTGGGCGCATCATGACTGGGTGGCGAGTGGATGGATGGATGGATGGATGGATGAGTGAGTGAGTGAGTGACCAGCAGCTTGGACGTCTGTGTGCGTTTCATTCACATTTGTGCGTACGTCTTCATTTCCTTTTCTCCTGGCCAGGCCCAATTGGCCAGGCCGCACTCGGCCACGACATCGACGCATGCACTTGTCCGCCGCCATGCGTCGCTTTTTAAGCGCCGTGAACATGCGGGATGTGGCAGTCATTAAACCGCCTCTTTGGATTTGCCTCGCTGCCGCTTCAGAGAATGACACCAAGCTCGCAGAGCCTCGCACTACTGGGATCTCAGTCAGGCGTGAAATCGCTTGCTGAGGGACAGGGTCAGGATGATGGCTGCCGCCCGTGTTGGTGGAGACGAGCAGCATCTGTCGTGTGAGATCTGCACCAACGCCTACTCGAGCACCGGACGCCGGACGCCCCAAGTGCTCAGATGTGGTGAGGAGGGCAGTCAGTCACGGAAGGGGGAGGGCGAAGCAGCGCAACTTGTGAGTGCTGTCTGTCTGCCTGTCTGCCTGTCTGTCTGTCTGTCTGTCAGGCCACTCGTACTGCGCAGACGTGAGGGGTGGAGAAGGAACACTCGAATCGGGCAGATCTGATGTGTGTATGGTGTGTGTGCAGTGTATTGGTGACCTCCGCCGTCATGCCGCCAACAACGTCATCACATGCGCAAACCGATGCGGGCAAGACACTCAAGATGACTCATGAGAGGACGACCTGTAACAGTGTGCCGTGTGTGTGATCGATAAGGGTGGCGACGCCAGCCGACCAAGAGGTACAGAAATGCTACCAGCTGACAAAAGCAGTGGAGGCAAAGGAGCAGCAAGGTGGACAGACAAACACACGAGTGAATGCGAAGCACCCTGCCCACCGATCCGTTTATGCGTGCAGAGCGTCAGCAGTTGGGTCTTCTGCACAAGTGCGCCACCGCCGCCCACTCACTGAGCCCGCCGGAGGTGGCGGTGGTGGTGCTGATGTGCGGCCTCTCACACGCAATGGACACTCTGCCCAACATGCGCAGCCGTCTGCACGGCTACCTGAGGGTCAGTCAGATCCACACTCACAGACGCCACCAATGCGGTCCTTTCTGTGTGCTTATGGTCTGCAGTCGTCCATTGAGGGCAGTATGGTTAGCAGGCTGCACGAGATGTGCATCGCCAAGTGGATCAATGCGGGCAGCAAGTCACTCCGGCTGATATACCAGTCAGTATGTCGCACATCGATAGCGTAGCCAAGAAGCCATCGCATATCTGTGTGTGTGTGTGTGTGTGTGTGCCATTCCCAGATCGTCGCGTGACGGGCCGTCGTATGGCGATCTGCTGCGGTGTGTGGGCGACACGAAGGGCCTGGTGTTCGTCATCCACAAGCCCCCATACACGTTCGGCGCCTTCATCAGTGCCGGCCTGCAGCTGCCCGACGACCCGACAGACGAGAACATCTACGGCTGCGATGGGTGGGAGTTCTCGCTGGCCGGCCACTTCTCCACACCCAAGATCACCACGATGGAAGGCAGCCGGACAATGTTCGTGGCGGGGCGGGAGGGGACAGGGAATGGGGCGAAGCTGGAGATCGTTGGGTTCGGTGTGTGGCTGGGGTTGGGCTGTGAGGGTGGCGCTGCTGATGATATGCGCAGCTGCCATCACTTCATCCTCAGCGATTATCTGCCTGAGGGCTATGTGGGGGTGAGGGATGAGCATGGCCTTGCTGTGTTTGGGGGCAGTCAGTTCTTCATGGCTGATGAAGTGGAAGTGCTTACTGTGGTGTGAGAGTGAGGCAGAGGTCAGATTGATTGAGGGCTGCATGGGCATGGCACGCTTTGATGGCAAATGAGTGTATGTGTGCTGCCTTTATCCATCTACGTCACGTTTTTTGGCCAATGGAACGTGTTCAGTGAGGGGTCAGTGAATGGGGTTGCGAAGCTGAGTCTCGCATCGCTCCGTGGCTGTGGTTGGGCTGTGGCGCTGCTGCTGACATGCGCAGCTGCCAACAGTTCATCCCCAGCTGGGGGGTGCCTGAGGGCTATGTGGGGATGAGCAATGAGCATGGCCTTGCTGTGTTTGGGGGCAGTGCGACATTCATGGCTGAGGAAATAGAGGTGCTCACTGTGGTGTGAGAGTGACGCCTGAGAGATCAGATTGAATGAGACATGCATACAATTTCTCAACGTGGCACGCTTTGGTGTATATGTGTGTATACTGCCTTTATCTAGCTGTGCGAGGCTTTGTGTTTTTGGCCGTGTGCGTCAGACCAGAGCTGGGTGTTGTCTGTGGTGTCATGGGCCTCTGCTTGCAGTCTTGTTTTGCCTGCGGCCGTGTAGTGATGTGTCTGATGTGGTGACGCAGCCAGGCAGCGAGCTGGCCAGCTGGTTGACGATGGAACACTCATGAATGGCCCGACCATTTTTGACAGTCATGGCTGGTCAGTGCTTCGTTGTAAATGCACCATCATGAGACATGGGTGTATGACGATTGACTGAACGACCCACTCTTTCTGCATGTCCTTTCTCCCGTGATGAGTCCATTCATCCCATCAATCAATCGGGTGACTACGTCTCTCTCTGTCTCTCTCTCTCTGCGCCCACGGCATACACACAAGACGGACAGACAGGTATGTGAAAGGGCGGGGAAAGAGCCCATTGGCAATCAAGCAGGCAGGCAGGCGGTCGGCCACACCACACAACATACCCACTCCGCCTACACACACACATGCAGATGGGACGTACAGAAGGCGATCGGCACACATAAAGCAGATGGGACGTACAGAAGGCGATCGGCACACATGAACGGTCGGTCGGTCTGTCTCTGTCGCCTCACTGAGCCATAAAGGCCGCCCTTTGCCCTTGGTCTGCTCACTGTCTCACTTGGCACACAGACAGACAAGTCTGTGTCAGAGCTGACTGTCGACATAAACACCCACACCACACAGACATAGACCCCTCTCCTGACTAAGAAAGACACCCATGTGTCTCGTGGTCTCCCTCGCTCCCCCACCCACCCACCCACCCACCCCCTCCACTCAGCCGTATGTATGCATATAAGAAATAATTATATGCCTGCACACGTAGGTATGTATGTGTGTAACTGTCTTTTGTATGTGCGCGCGTGTGTCGAGAACGGACACGCCACCCACCCGAATCAGACAGAAAGGACAAAAGAAAACAGAAAGCCCGCCCATGAGCACACCCATCACCCACCCCACCACTAATGGCCGTCTCGCAAATGCAGCCGTGCGATCCACACTGATGACAACAGAATCCATCCGCCGACTGACCAGCCATATTTTGCTCGCGCGTGAGCAGCACTACACTAGTGCCCGCCTCGCCCCCCCACTCAGTCACTCAGTCAGTCAGTCGCAGAGCGAGACATAGGCAGTTGCGTGGACAACATTCACAGCCCCACTACCGACACACATGGCCTTTTCTGCCCGTGCGCCATCCACTCACTATACACACAGACACACACAGACACTCAGCTGGTCGGCAGACGGACCATTCCACCCACTCAGAGGCACAGAGCCATCCATCCATCCATCCATCCAGGCCCATGGACCGATTGGCTGACGATAAGGTGACTGACCATCACACCACACTCATAAGGCAGAAAGGCACCACACAGTGAAGGAACACACAAAAGGAAAAGGCGGCCAATCGCAGGCACACAAGTCACACCAGCCCAACGCTCAAACACATCACACCGACTCAAATGTCGTCTCACATTTCCTCGATTACTCCACGACTGTACGATCGGAATATATTTCAATTTGCTCACACTCCCCGCCACCATTGTAGCCCCCGCCACCATTGTAGCCCTTGCCACCATTGTAGCCCTTGCCACCATTGTAGCCCCCGCCACCATTGCAGCCGTTGCCACCTGTATGCCGATGCACACACACACAAAGGCCAGCAACAGCCGCTTTGTCTGCCGTGACCACCGCACACCGCCACACTCACCGTTGCCATATTTCTTGTAGAGGATCTTGTCGACCTTCATCATTCCCATGTGGTCGTTGCCATAGTGGGAGATGGTGGTGAGGTAGCCGCTGAGATAGGTGGCCACGTACATCTGTGTGTGGACGGGGAGCGGAGGGGAAGCCACACACACACACACACACACAGGGGGGTCAGATATGTGTTTGTGTGGGGCTGAGTGTTGGTGTCAGGGTGACATACATAGTAGTGGAGGCTCTTCTCGATGTGCACGGTGCACATGGCGTCTTTGTGCTCTTTGGCGGCGTCATACAGCTGAACGGACACACATCAACACATCCATCCCACCAAGTGTGCCAGTGAGTCTGCCCCCTCTGTCTCTCACATCCTTTGTCGCCTTGTAGAGGTCGCCGTATGAGTGTCTTATACGCTTAAGATTCTCGAGAGGCTGAAAGACAGAGGGAGAGAGATAGGTCACTTGAAGCACACAGACACCCAGGTACGTGTGGAGACCTTGTAAGGATCGTCACTGTAGTAGAGCTTCTCGATGGCTTGGGGCACATAGGGATGACCACGGCTGACATCACACACAGGGAGAGAGGGAGAGGGTCAAGATTGTCGCAGACACACAGACACCACGTACCTCTGCAAGTAGTTGATCATCTTATCAACCTTCGTCACGGTCTTGGTAAAGCAGTGCCCAGCGTATGCAGCGAATCCTTTCAGACTAACAACCAGACAGAGAGCACACACGGCCTCCGGTGCACTGTGTTGGGGTGTGTGCGTGAGGGTGGTGCTCACCCGACGTCATTGCGCTTGTAGTAGTACATCACGTTCTGGCAGAGGTATGCGTGCTCCAGCATGTGGTTGATGTAGTCCTGGATGTCATGGTTCAGGTCGTCAGGGATTCCCCACTTGTCGTCCCCATTCCACGCAGGCACATCCTTATCCTCCTTGTCCTCAGCTGCCGGCTTCTTGCCCTTGACGCTCACAGCGTCGTCCTCAGCCAGAGACCGCACGAGGGAGGGCGCCTGCTGCTGCTGCTCCTGCTGCTTCTCCTCGCACAGCGCCACAGACACTGACACACAGACGGGGGAGACACAGCACACGGGCAAAGAGCGCCACAGCAGACACACACAGAGGCAGACAGAGAGTGACGGCCCGTGCAGTGGTATGGTCTGCCTTCGCCGTGAGCCACGCACCTGAGGCGGCGAGCAGCAGCGTGACGGCGACGAGAGAACACACGCGCATCGTGACTGTCGGCGGCAGCACTGGTGAGAGGGAGGCAGCGAGGGAAAACCCAAGAAAACCCAAAAGAAACGCCGGAAAGGCACAAAGACGGCGGAAGGAAAGGCAAACAGAGGCGAAAACCCAAAAAACGCACCGGCGGTTCGGCGAATTCCGTTGCCGGACAGTCAGTTAAGAAATGACAGAAACAATGGGAAACGGCGGCCATTATTCTTGCGCCCGCTTGCCGGAGCTTTGGAGTTTTTTTGCCTCAGCTGACTGAGTGAGTTAGCTGACTTAGTGAGCAAGCGGTATCATGTGCGACGAGTTGACGATACGCTCTTGCTCCACCAATCGGGTGATCATGACTGCATCTCTCTCTGTGTGGTGACTGATTCGTGATGAGGAATGGCTGCCTCCATGTGTGGGCGTCTTCACAGAGAGAAAGACACGCAAAGTGACGAAGGACGGCAGAAAGCCGCGCACAGCGCCGCACACACACACACACACATCTCTTCATCTCTCTCTGCCATCGAGCGCTCTGGCGGAGTGAGTCCATTTCATCTCTCCATCCGACGACTACTGAGATGGACAGCTACTGAGTGATTGGACACAGTTGAAACACACACAGCCAGATCCCTTTGTCCATTCACCAGACGCACTCACACACACTCTCACCCCGTCCCGTCTCACTTTCGTCAAATTCCATTTACTTACATCTCACGCCATCTGTGTGCGGCTGGCGAGCTGCGTGTAGGCCTCGAAAGCCTTCAGAGGCGGACCGAAGACACGCAGGTGATCTACACACACACACACAGAGAGAGAGAGACAGTATTATGGGTGGGATGGATCGATGGAGGCGTACTGAGGTCGTGCTGATCGTATGTGAAGTTGGAAGGGTCGAGGGCGTAGTTGGCCGCACACACAAACAGACCGTTGCACGAGAGTGGCTCACGGCAACCTGCATACACACACCCACACCCATCCATCTGGATTGGTGCAATGCATCAAACGGGCAGACAGACCCACCGGGAAAAGTGATGAGGAAGTCTCCCTTCTCATAGGCATGGCTCTGACACACACACGCCCACACACATGGATGGATGGATGGATGGATGGATGGTGGGCAGGTGGACGGACGGACTTACTCTGAGGAACATGCCATTCCAGACGTCGTATGAATTCATCTCGTGCTGCGGGATCACCACTGCACGCACGTCTATCGCATCCGTCGCGCCGACGACCTCATCCCCGACCTCCTGCACACACCATCGCCCACCCACACACCCACACATGCGTGTGTGTGTGTGTGTGGGTGGGTGCGTGGGCACCTGGCTGTGTATGGCGGGGGCGGGGGCGGCGTCGCTGATGAGTCTCCTGATGAGGGCAGACAGGCGTATGGCTCTGCTGAGAGTGAGGGCGGCTTCGTTGATGAGAGTCATGATCAGGGCGTCCTGGTCGCCGAAGAGAGGCTGGTGCACGTGGGCCATCACAAAGGCGCGCCCTAACACGGCTGCATTTCATTCCCATGGCAGACAGACAGACAGCCAGACAGATAGACAGCCAGACATTGGTGGCTGTCGTGGGTTTGGCTATGGGATTACAGATGGTCCAAGGGGAGTTTCTGACGAGGAAATTGGCGGATGAGAGGCCCCAGCCTTCCTCCTACGCACACACACATTCACACACACACACACACATCCCCCATTCAGTCATTCATGTGTGTGTGGGGGGGGGGGGCTCACGGTGATGAGGAGGCCGACGTTTGGGTCAAGTCCTGAAGATGGCTCGTCTCTTTGCTGTGTATAGGCCCTCCACACACACACACACACACACAGAGATGGTGCCGAGTACACACAGACATTACACATTAGCACCTGTGAGTAAGTGTGTATGATGCTGTCGATCGTCCTGTTGAAGTCCATGATGATCGAGTCGCAGTCGAGCCACATCAGCCAGTCGTATCGGCCACTGCGCAGGTGGTGCGCCAGCAGGTACAGCTTGGCATGCTGCACACACACACACACACACACTGCGTGTGTGGTGGTGAGTTGGGTGGTGGTGGTGGGTGTTTCCCTCCCTCTGTCTCTCTGTTTGCACGCCCTCACTGACTGACCTGTATGTGCACATTCTGGTTCGGCATTGGGTGTGTGTCGTGGACCAGGTAGGTGTAGTTGTGCCGCGAAGCGTATATTTGGCGGTTGTGCTGGACACACACATTGATGGATGGATGGATGGCTGTGTTGGGTGCGGGTTTTTCGCTGACTGGTGTGACGTATTTGAGTGCCCATTCGTCGGTGTAGGCGCAGATGCTCACGATGCCGATACGCAACTTCGCTGCACAAACCC